CCGGGAATGGAACTTGAACTCCGGGTTCCCAGGTCCGTGCCCCCCCGCCACGGTGCCCGGGGCCGGGCGAGCGGCGCCCACTGCCAGCCGTGACCGCCAGCGCCGGCGAGCGAGAAGCGGAGGCCGCGCTGGGTAAGTTTCTGCAGAGAAGCCGCCGGCTGGCGGGCTGGTCCGATCGGTCCCCCAGGAGCCCCAGCAGCTCCAAGGAGAACCAAGGGTGCCCTGGGCCCAGCCCACAACGTCACTGCCAGGACGACTCTTCCCGTTATGTCCAGTCCCGCGGCGCCCGTGCCGCCCGCCGCCCGCCGCCCGCTCCAGCCCCGCGGACGCCGGAGTGACACTCACCAGCCTCCGCCGCGACTGTGCGCTCCTGCCGGCCCCTCCGCTTTATGCACCCCGGGCTCCGCCCTCTCTCCCTCCTTTCCTCCCCCCACCCCCGACCGGGTCCTGGAGAAATGAAACTCTGGGAAAGCCTGAGAGCTCAGAACCGAAACCGAAACCGATGCGTCTGCATCCGCCCCGCGCTCCGCTGCAGCCCCCCAGGCTCTCCGAGTGCGCAAAACGCCGGAGGGTGTTTTTTTAATGTGTAATTTTTAAATTTTTTTTTTTAGAGGGGAAGGAAGGAGGAGGAGAGAGAAACAAGGACGGTTTGCCTCCCGCACGAGGCACTCACCCCAACTGGGATGGAACCCTCAACTTGGGTCTGCGCCCTGACCAGGACTCCAACCAGCGGCCTGTGGGTGCAGGGAGGATGCTCAGCCAATGGGCAGCCCGGGCCAGGGCACGTCCTGAGGTGCATCAGGCACTGCGGGTGTTTCTGGGCGCTGTGTGAGAGCTGCTGCTCTGACAGCCTGAGCTCTAAACAAACAAACACAAAAAACAAAGCCCCAGTCCTGCACAGCTGACCTAGCCTTGAACCCAGAGGGCCCCCTAAGCCCCGGCCTCTGAACAGAGGCCCTGGCAATCATCGGGGTCTTCCCGCTGGAGGGACTCAGGGGTCCTTCAGCATCAGCAGGGCGTCTGAAGCATTTTACGGCAATGCCAGCTTCCCCATGTCCCCCTTCCCCTGAAAACCCCATCAGCTTCCTCCTCCCCACTTCTCAGGCCCACCTCAGGCCTCCCCCCGCGTCTGATTTCTCTGGGGCAGAAATGGGTGGAACGTGGGGACTGAGGTCAAGCCAAGACTGCCCGCCCCCACCCCACCCTCTGGGAGTGAGGAGCCGCATTCTCTTTGCAAAGGGCAACCCTTCCTAGTCACAATGACAGAAAACCGGAGAAGAACCAGGCAATACTTAGAGAGATGGAGTTACATTTATTACACGCGGGTCCAGAGGCAAACATCTCTCAGATTCTGGACCCTAACATGGAGAAACTCTCCCTATTTATACGTTATTACCTTCTTTGTCTCCCAAATATGGGGTGTTTCCGGCCCTCTTTGCGAGTTCTTAAAGAGCCCCTATGTGCTGGGGCCTTGAGACCTCAACTAAGGCTTGGCCTGGTGCCAGCACTGATAACTCCCCTCATCGGGGAAGGTTTAATGGCCTCTCTGAAGCGGGAGTTGTCTTATTTTCCTTATTATTTAAGCAAGCAAGCATCTACAGAAGCCACATAGCAGGGTTAACATTTCAAACAGCAGTTTTTATATGAGATGGATGCTTCAACAGGAGTGTGTGTGTGTGTGTGTGTGTGTGAGTGTGTCCGGGTTGGGGAGGGGGGACAGTCTTGTTGTCCAGGACTCTGAGCTGAGCTGAGGAGAAGGGAGGTGGAGGATGCCCAGTACCCCAAGCCCCATCCCTTC